GGTGAGGAGGGTGTCGCCGAGTTTGGGATAAAGCCACTGAGCAAGGTGAGAACTTCCAGGAGTGTTCATGCAGGCAGGTGGTAGTCTTAGCAGGATGAGGAGGGGTGGGCTGGTGAGGAATGTTAAGAGTCTGTATAGGATAAACAGAGCTTCTATCTGCGGGGAAAGCCTGGGTAAGAAGGATGTCCATGAAGGTGAAAGCCTACTGTGAGGCATCAGGGTCTAGGCAGGGTGGGGCAAACCACGTGTGAGGTGGCCTGGTGTATCTTGTAGCCTGGAATATTTTGTGGTGTGGAGTCTGAGCTGAGGATTGGGAGGAGGTGTCCACAAGGAGACATGGCCCAGGTGCTGTAGGGGTGGGAGGCACCCAGAGCCTGAACAGATGATCAGAGTACCCACGCTGTAAGAGGTAGCAGTGGCTTTTTGATCAAATAAGTACAACAAAGATAGTGGCAATGAGGTTTCTTATTGTTGCAGGAGTTACAAACATAGAAAGGGAGAAAACTAGAAAGAATCCTGCAGTGCTGGATTAGAACTGGAAGTGACAGGATCAGCTCATGGTTTTCAATATATATAGCTAGCTCAATGGAAACAGCTAGTCCTGTCCTAAGAGGGGCTGCATAACAATATGCATTCCTAGACCTCAGATCTTTACCTTTTCCTTTTTTTTTTTTCTTTTCTATTTTGTTTTAGAGATGGGGTCTCATTGTGTTGCCCAGGCTGGTCTCAAACTATAAGCGATCCTCCTGCCCTAACTGATACCCAGCCTAGATCTCTACTTCTAAATGCCATTTTTCCACTAAAAGACTCAGGGCTTCCTGAGAAATGGCTGATTCCAGCCCTGGGGCAGGAAAAACACAAAAGTAGCCTGGAATATCTTGTGGCACCAGAAAGCCAGGAAGTGATGAAGACATGTCAAAGGGATCAGAAGCCAGCTTGTAGGGACTCCCACTGGCTACATCAGAGGACGTCTAAACATCAAATAGATTATAACTCAGATAAAATAGAAAACCATTAATCCACACTGCTATAAATAAAGGACGAAATCAAAATCTGAATGAACAGGAAATTTAAGTAGTTTCCAAGTGTCTTCCTTACAAATATTTATTAAGTATATAGCAAGTCTTCACTCAATGTCCTCAATAGGGTCTTGAACACATCAACTGTAAGCCACATGACGTATCATATGCCATAGGAACTTAACTCTTGTTCATTCCAACTGGCCTATGGTAAAACTGGTTTTGTTATACAGTACATCATTTAGCTTAAAGTCACAGTTTCCAAGAACTGAGAACCTACTGAGGACGTTAAGTGAGGACTTAGTGTAAATGGAAAAAGTGTAACTTTATAGGTGAAAAGCCTGGCAGACACCTATTTAATCCAGTGATTAAATGAACATCACCAGTAGTGGGACAAATGGAAGCTGTGTGTCAATTCGTAGATACAACATGAAGAAGATAGTCTCACTTACCTGATATTCCTACCAAAATGCAGAACCTGCATCTAATCGTAAGGAAGCATCAGACAAGCCCATACTGAGGGAATTCTACATAAAAAGTGGCCTGTAGTCTTCAAAATGTCAAGACATGAAAGTCAAGGAAAGACTGAGGAACTCCTCTAGGCTGAAGAGAATTAAAGAGACGTGACAGCTCCATGTAATGGGGCAATCCTAAAACTGCATCCTTTTGTTATAGAGGATGCCACTGCAATCATTGGTAAAACTTGAATAGGGCCTGAGAATTAGATGGTTGTAATGTGTCAATGCTAATTTCCTGGTTTTGACAGTTACACTATTGTTAGGTAGGAGAATGTACGTTTATAAAAAATACACACTATAAGTATTTGAGGGTGATAAGGCTACTTGATAAGGCTTTTATTGTTAAAAAAAAAATAGTTGTGTACTGTACTTGAAACATCCCTGTAAGATTCAGAATGTTTAAAAAGTCACCTCCTAAACTTACTGTTGTATTCAGTTAGTTGCAAAAAAAGGCAGGAAAAGAATCATTATATTTATCTACTATGTAACACAATGGTTGTATAAGTCACACAGCTTCCCTGGGCCTCAATTTCCTCTATAAAACGTGGGGATTGGATTGAATTATCTCTAAGGTTCTTTCTATTATGATTTTCTCTTTGGGGGAGGACAGAAGAGGCAGGGATCTTATAATTGCACAAGACTGTTCTCATCTTTCTTTAAAAACGTATTTCTGCATGTCTATAGACAAAGGCAACTTAACTCACAATCAGGGCTATAGGAAAAGCCTCACATTCCAGCCTTAAGACAAGGTCGTACTTTACTTCACAAGTCGGTCTCATTTTTTTCATCCTCTAATTCTCAGGTTCAGTCAAAGGCTCTACCCAAATCTTCACATCTCTGAAAATCATTCTCCTATTGAATTATACTAACACAGTTCCTAAGATTTATAAGGTACTTTTAACTATTCCAAAGACTTCTGTATAGTTCTCATTTTATCTTTCCAACCAATGATGACATAGTATTATCCTAACTTTACAGATAAGAAACATTTCTGGACAGAAATCAATGACTTATTTAAAGTCATACAATATCCAATAGGAACCAAAACCCAAATCTTCTGACTTCCAATTCTGTGTTCTTTCTGCCAAACTCAGTGCTCATGTTGACTGGCAGCAAAGCATATCTCTGAGTTCTTGGTATTTTCCAGAAAACACTCATGAGGTCCAGCACAACTTCCTTATTTGGCATCTCCACTCAGTGAATAGACACTTAACAAGCCCAAAACAGAACTCTTGATTTTACACGTCAAGCCAGTTCCTTTGCAATCATTCCATTTTTCCCTCAGTCATTAAAACCCCACATCTAGTCACCATTCTTGATTTCTTTCCTTTTACCCTCACATCTAGAACAAAGTATGCTGGACCGTATACTACTCCCCCTCCCACTGCTAACGGTACATTTACTTGCCCTTTGAAAACTCTTGCCACCTAAGAGCTTTCTTATTTCAGAACTTAGTTCTGGGTTGGCTCATCTCCCTGAATATTAGCTGCCAACCTTCTCTTCTTTCCTCTTTCTTTACCGATGGTTCTGAGAAAAGTCTTCTGAATACTCACTATTCTAATTTAAGTGTTATCCTAAATCTCTAAATTTTCATGAAAGGAAAAATAACATCATTTGCTAGCCTGGTATGACTGGAGTTCTAGCGGGGTAGGTGAAAAAGTCTCTCAAAATCCCTTGAAAATCAAAGACTGGTTCTGTAAAAAAACAAGGAAAAGTAAAGATTTTGAGAAAAACAAAATTCTACAGGGAAAACAGAACCACCAACAGCAACAATAAAAATTATCAAGACATATTTCTCGTTACTTAACTCTTGGCTACTAAAATAAATCTGTATGATATTGTTGACAGGCTTAAAATTCTGCTTGACGGCCGAGGTACTATGTCAGCCAGTCACAGCATGTGCCCACTCACAGGCACCGTTCAGGGCCAGTCGGCAGATTTCTTGGACAGCCTGTGGGAGCGTCCCATTTCAAGACCACAGGCATTCCACTGGACAGCGCACAAGGGTTTAGATCATAGCAGAGAGCCTGGAGCATGTCACTAACCCTAGACATGGAGACTGGAAAGACCACAGAATCATCTTGGACGTATACCAGGAAACACAGTTGGCTACAAAGGATATCTTTGTCATGCATTTTCAGAATGAGAAATGAAAACGATATCATAATGCTCTAATAGTTTAGCAATAGGACTTAAGGTCAAAACTGTGTGTGTGTATGTGTGTGTGCGAGAAAGGAGAGAGAGAGAGAGAGAGAGAGAGAGAGAGAGAGAGAGAGAGAGAACACAAGAAATGTTGGGCAGAAATCATGCTCAAATTATTAATAAACAGTAACAGGCCGGGCGCGGTGGCTCAAGCCTGTAATCCCAGCACTTTGGGAGGCCGAGGCGGGTGGATCACGAGGTCGAGAGATCAAGATCATCCTGGTAAACATGGTGAAACCCCGTCTCTACTAAAAATACAAAAAATTAGCTGGGCATGGTGGCACGTGCCTGTAATCCCAGCTACTCAGGAGGCTGAGGCAGGAGAATTGCCTGAACCCAGGAGGCGGAGGTTGCAGTGAGCCGAGATCGCGCCATTGCACTCCAGCCTGGGTAACAAGAGCGAAACTCCGTCTCAAAAATAAAAATAAAAATAAAAATAAACAGTAACAGCTAGATTTGGACATGCCTGTGGTACAACACCTAAGGGACTGGGGGGCTCAGGTGACCTAGCGGATTCTTTCTAACTACTTCTTTACTATCTATCAAAATTCAATCAACTCCTGATTTTTGCAGTAAAGAAAACACATAATCCTGAAATCATAACTACTTGATTTCAGAATATACACGTTGTAGTCTATCATTTAAAAATGACATACTTATCTTTATATAATAAATACAGAACTTAAGCTAACATTAAAATAAATTTGGCAAAGATCAACTAATGGCAGAAACTGGATAATAGCCCAGAAGTTGGACTGGAGGGGGAAACCAGCCTTGAGGGAAAATTTTCCCATAAAGAGTCCCTATTTAGGTAATTAAGGCCTGACAGAGCAGGCAAATCCATAGTTCTATGTAGCATACTACAAGAGCTCCCCTATTTTGTGGTTAAGGTGAAAGGAGAACTGATGTGCTGGAGTAATGCAGGAATCAATGTGAGAAACAGAATGAGGAAAAAAATCTAGAAGTCCTTGGCTCAGGTTGCTGAAACCAGCCCACTGTACCAGGCCTCCCATTCTGTCACCAACATTGGATTTCTGCCAATAGCTCCTAAATGACGTCTTCAAAGTTCTGCAGAAAGAGGAAAGGGATCACAACAGTTAGCAGAAAAGCAGCTGGTGCCCCGGCATATGTGGAAGCATTTGTCTTCCAATTAACTATTACTTTCTTTTCAAAGAAACTCCAGCTTTCAGTACCAGAAAAAGATGTCATACGGGCAAAACACATTCCAATCCTATTATCAGGAGATAGTGTTCCATCTTACCAGATTTCCTACAGCCAAGACATGCTCAAATTGTGGCGTCATAGGATGGTGCTCCATTGCCATAAACAGTGTATTCAGGACGATGCAGATGGTGATGGCTAAATCCACAAAAGGGTCCATAACTATCAAGTTCACAATCTCTTTCAGTTTTATCCAGTAGGGGTGGCACTCCCAGATGAGGAAAGTGTTGGCAAATTTATACCAGCATGGCGGGCACTTTCTCTGAGACTCTTCCAGTTCTGTAGTAAGAAAGAACAAAGATGGCCCCTCAATTACACTGAGAAAACCAGGAGGACACACTACTCACCCTCACAGTCATTATCACCATTATTAATATGGAATCAACGTTGTTTGAGCACTGATATTCCTAAGTGTTTTCTTTCTTTCTAAGGTAGAGAGGAGGCATGATCCATACAAGTTGCCTCCCTGTTAATAAGTGATGGGTTAAGTTTATAAATGAAACTCAACCCATCAGTTATGGGAGTAGAGCACAGAGGTCAGGAGCTTGGCCTCTCAGGTCTGACTCTCTGGCCTCAACTGGCCTGAATGCTTACAAGCTGTGTGATCCCAGGCAAGGTAACTGACTTCTGCTGAGCTGCCTCAGCTGTAAAACAAGGCATCAATTTACAGGTTACGGGACTGAATGAGTCCTGGAACCTCATTTTGATGTGAGTTTGATTAAAGATCAAATGAGCTGCTGTTGTAATGCAGTCAGCACAGTACCTGGCACAGGGTAAGTCCTCAATAAATGGTAGGTACTTTATTATACACTCTACTATTCAATTATTGTTAGAGATGCCATCAAAAGCATGAACTCAAGCCAGACATATTTGAGTTCAAATACTAGTTCAGACACTTGCTAACTGTGGGACCCTGAACAAGTTACTTTGATTTGCCATGAGAATTAAATGAGCTAAAATAGATGTAAAGTGCCCTAGAATACTCTGGCAGATAAAAAGTGCCATGGAAGTGTTTGCTATTGTTATTATCTTCATCAGCAGAACTAGCATCATCAACCAACCCAACATGTAAAAAACACATCTGCTATGTTCTCAAAGAAGTACAAGTTACTGTCTCCACCCTCAACAAGTTTACGGCTCATCGTCAAGTTAGAAATACAAGCTGGGCGCGGTGGCTCAAGCCTGTAATCCCAGCACTTTGGGAGGCCGAGGCGGGTGGATCACGAGGTCGAGAGATCGAGACCATCCTGGTCAACATGGTGAAACCCCATCTCTACTAAAGGTGCAAAAAATTAGCTGGGCATGGTGGCGCGTGCCTGTAATCCCAGCTACTTAGGAGGCTGAGGCAGGAGAATTGCCTGAGCCCAGGAGGCGGAGGTTGCGGTGAGCCGAGATCGCGCCATTGCACTCCAGCCTGGGTAACAAGGGTGAAACTCCGTCTCAAAAAAAAAAAAATAATAATAAAAAATAAAAATAGAAATACAAACCACATTACTCTCCCCTTTTCCCCCTTCCCTCCTCTTTCTGTCTCCTCCCATCTCCTTCTTTCTTGCCCCTTTGCCCTTTCCTGCTCTCATTCTTTGCCTCTCTCTTTCTTTCTGTAACTTCTTCCTCCTTCCCTCCCTGGGTCATCATCTTCTTTCCTTTTTCTTTCTCTCCTTTGTCTTATCTTCTCTGTCTCTTTTAGAAGCAGATCCTGTTTTTTTCCAAGCAAGATCTCACATGATCCCCAATATGGAAAATAAACCAGGAATTGCCTTAGATGAAGCTGGAGCCCACTCGGATAGACTTCTGTCTCTCCTGAGGCACTTCTCTAGAGTCCCAAGACTCCTAAGACACACAGACTGAAAAATCACTGGACTAGATGATCTCAAAGATATTTTCAAAGCAAACATTCAAAAGAATTATCAGACATCAAAGGCAGACACTCAATTGGCAGTTACAACAATCTAGGTATGAAGCCTACATAACAAAGCTCTCCACAAATTAAGCATGAAATACAATTGTCAGGATTACAAGATTCCAAGGACCTTGAGCTAAGAGGATGCTTTTTAAGAAGTGAACTTTGAAAACCTGTCAGAATGTAAGGTATCGATTCTACAGGGTTGGCTGTAACAGCTACTCTCTCCCTGTCCAATTCTGCTGACACTATCAAATCATTTAGGGGGAAAGAAAATTCCCCAACATTTCACCAAAACCAAGATGGCTACCTTAAATTAGCCTACGTTCCCTTTTCCAACCAGCTGGATGGCGATGCTTTATTTTAGATAAGGTGGTTTTGGCTGAGCTTCTGATTGGCTCCCTGGTTGCTAAGAAAATGGTTGCCTTGGTTTTCAGATTTAAGGACCACTGTAAGCGCCACGTGGGAGGCTGCGTGGGAAAGGAAGTCTGTGAGGAAAATCTGCTGTGGCTTCTTCCTCAGAGAACTCCCTCCCTTCCTAAGGTAAATATAGTTTTCTCCCCCAAAAAAGAAAATGACAAGGTTCCTTTATTTCCTTAAATTCTTACAGTACATATTTGGAAATTTAGTTCCGTTCCTTTTTGATCCCCCGCCCTTTTTCAAACGTCTGCTGCTCATTGGCACGTGGAGGTTGAAGCTGCGACTGTTCACATCTGACAGTTGACACAAGTGTAATGTTTTACAATGAACTAGGTCTTGAGTCTTGCCACACAGCAAAGAGGGGTTTTCTTGCCCTACAGGGCACCAAGAAAATTCCTCTAGGGATACCAGACATCTCTTAACCATATTTACTGAGAAGCGAAGATCTTCAGGATAATCTTTCATTCCCACAAAAAGTAAGCCAATGTGGAGCTTCAGGAGCTAGAAAAGATCATTTGGGAATGAGAAGGCTTGTGAAGTGACTTATGACTTTGCAAATTGTTACTGGTTCTATATGCCTGGAATGACTAAGTATTTGGTTTGGGGGAAAGGGTTAACATTTAGGGGTGAGATGTCCAAAGATTTGTGGGGTTTCTCTTATTTTGCTTTTGGATATTTTCAGAGTGGTTACTCTAAGTCTCAACCTCAGGGGTACTCGGAATTGTTTTCAGAGAGGACCTCACAATTCCACCAAGATGGTGGCTTTGGTAGACCGTGAGGTTTCTGAAGGCAGGAGCCTCTCTCAACTGAATTCAACAACTTTTAGGTACCTGCAATGTGCCAGGCACTGAGGATACACTGATGAAGAGCCCCTGCCCTCACTAAGCTTACTGCCACACAGGAAAGGCTGACATCAGCTAAGTAACTATACTGACACTTGATGCTTGTCAGTTAAATGAAAGAATACATACATAGTGGCAGCAACAGCTATGGCCAGTTACCTCTAGGGAAGCTTTTGAAATTGTTTTACCTGAGAATCAATAATGTCAAGTACTTCCTTGATATTGAAAATCAGTAATGTCAAGTACATCACTACTTCTTTCTTACTGCACCACGATCTCCCCGTCTTACACAGCTTTACTGCTTTGAACAGTGAGATTTCACTACTCTGCCTACACCCCACACACAGTCCTCTGAAATATCCCCAAAGCTTATAGCTCTGCTAGTGGTGAACTCTACTAAATGTACTGGATCCTGGTGAGCACGTTTGCAACAGGATGGGGAGGGGCAGAGCAGGCAGGGTTTTCTCATTACTGACAGAATTCTGGAATTCTCCACTGTGGTTTCTAAACTATTAGCTAAGTAGGAGCCTGCCTCTTGGGTTTTAATAATAATTATTTTAATCTTCAGATTAAAATAATGTCAGAGTTTCCTAACTGAAAGTTTGAGAGCAAGAACTGCAATTCGTTCAAGCCTGGCTTTTAATGTTGTAGCAAGCATTAAATATAGGGCCCAATGGTTAAACAGGCATGGATGTTTCCTTCCTTCTTATATTATTCTGGTCAGCCATTCATTGCTCTTTGCTTATAGCAGGTTGGTCCCATCAGCTTTAACAAAAGAATCAAATACAAGGTGCAAGGACAAGAGGAATGCCTGAGCAGGAAATGGCAGGACAGATACAACTATGTGAACATCAGCGCTTGGGAAACAGGACGAAGAACTGGAATAGTATCTTCCTACTCAGGAACATAACTACATCTGTCTCTGTCTCCTGAGCTACCCTTACATCTTTTTTTTTTTTTTTTTTTTTTTAATGTGTGTGATGGTGGGTAGAGGGCGGAGAATGAGCACAGCAGGACAGAAAGAGAAAGAACAGGGAGAAGAGGGAGAAGAGACTTTTAAAATGCCCCAATGGCTTCTATTCAACTCAGTAAAGGGATGAAAGCTTTTTTTTTTTAATTGCATTTTAGGTTTTGGGGTACATGCGAAGAACAGGCAAGATTGTTGCACAGGTACACACATGGCAGTGTGATTTGCTGCCTTCCTCTCCTTCACCTGTATCTGGCATTTCTCCCCATGCTATCTCTCTCCAACTCCCCACCTCCCACTGTCCCTCCCCTATTTCCCCCCAACAGACCCCAGTGTGTAGTGCTCCCCTCCCCGTGTCCATGTGTTCTCATTGCTCAACACCCGCCTATGAGTGAGAACATGCGGTGTTTGATTTTCTGTTCTTGTGTCAGTTTGCTGAGAACGATGGTTTCCAGGTTCATCCATGTCCCTACAAAGGCTTGTGGAAGGAGCCCTGCAGCACCAGCACTCCTACCATCCCAAGCACAGCCAACATCTGCTTGACAAACGTTGTTTGAGCATCTACTTTTGCTGGAACCTGCACTAAGCCACTACAGTAATAAATAAATAACTGTCGTATTGTATTGACGGTTATGCTGTTCTGATGTCTCTGCTAATAATAAAATGTACCCGCTGAAGGTTCTTTTTCTTTCTCAACTGCACGGATACTCAGAGAAATCCTGTCTTGGTCTCTGTGGGAATAATAAAATTAGCCAAAGTTCTTAGGCTATCATTTCTTAGCTTCAAATTTTAGGACTTGTAGTTATTTGCCCACAATCTCAAAGTATAAGCTACAAAGCTTGAAGATGTTCTATCAGACAATAACCTCAATGGAAATTAAAGAAAACAGGAATAAATAGAAGTTGTTCAGGCAGCTGAAAGCAGCTAATTCATTTTTTTACTTGATATATTCTCAAGGTTACTCTAGTTATAGTCTCATTCTTTGCACATATGTGGGGAAGTAAACACCCTTAGATAATTCTTTTCTAGGGATTCTCCCTCCACTGCACCCCCCTCCCCAATACACACACACATACACACACACACACACACACACACACACACACACACACACACACAGAATAGAAGGGGCATTGGGTTTAACTGACTGAAAAAATAACTTGTCTCAAGGATACCAGGACAATTTTGAATTTTCCTATCTCAGGGACTTTAGTTTTTCTGGGCACCTGTACTCTGAAGAACAGCAATTTGAGGCCTCAAGAATAGTTTAGATCTACAATGAGACAACTCAGCTAAATCAACATAAATCCAATGAGGAAGATACGTGTAGAATCTATCAGACTCTTGGAAGACGAAATCTGTCACTGAACTTCCCACTAAAGAAAGCACGAGGATCCTGGACTACAGACCACAACTGGAGAGGAGCCGATTCTTGCCTGCATGACGGTGGTCTAATGAAAAATCTTCAGGTATTCCTCAGCACACCAGGTTGTGACATAGAGAATCCACCTAATACAGAGAACTCAGCCACTGACAGCAACATTACTGCAGACGTGCTATGATTCAACAGTGGTTGCTCTTTCCCTGTGGCACAGAGTGCTCAAAGTAAGAAGGGTTTCAACTTACCTAGTCACACATCAAATATATTTATGGATATGTGGGGGTGTTTGAAGAGAGGCAGAACTAGGTGCAATCAAAATGCACAGTACATTCTTCCTTAAGGGAAAACCAAAAGGGCTGTAAGTAGTTAAAAAGGAAAAATGGAAGGTATGTTTTGGGCTAGGGGCCATAAGGGAAATTCCATCATTTTACAGCTTTGCAGTTCTTCAATCTATATTCCTTTATGCCTTACAGCACAACGATGACAATGACAGGGGTCTTGAGATTGTCTCGCTCAGTCGTGCAGCTCCTTTCGTATCTCTTACCTACAATCTTGTTGCCTGTGTACAACAAGCATAGCTGAAGCCCATATATTTGATTCTCTGCATGTAAATTTAGGAAGGAAATTTCTGATTCTAGTTTCTATATAGGAATAGACTCTATTCCTAAAGCTCAGAGACAGTTTTTGCAAAACTCAGACCAAGAGACAGGGATTATATTTACCACGCACATTATATATTTATATCTCAGCAGGTTGGACTGACGTCACAGGGCACATACCTTCTACTAGTGTATTCGTAACAGTCATTATACTGTTGATTCTGTCCTTCCGCCCATAGGAGGCTAGTTGATCCATGGAAACTAAAAGAGATCCAGGGCCTTTCTTCTTAATTTCCACCTCAGTTGTAGCCTAAAAAAAAAAAAAAAAAAAAAAAAGAAGCAAATAGAGTTAAGTCTGTAAATGTTAATCTGGGCCTTACCTGATAGACAGCCCAGTATGTGATCTTCATTATGGCTTTTAACTTTGATTCTACAGTCCTATTCACTTCAAGAAGTGGAATGAAACGAATTGGCCAGAGTTCATCCTTATTTCTGTGGATGATACGACCAAGTCATTTAAGTCTGTGTGAATCTACAATGAACCCAACAATCTGGCTGGGCCCAAACATCTCACCTGGTTCATTCCAAGCATAGAGTATAAAGACCAGATCCTTTAGGGATACTGCCATCAGAAGCAGACCCTGAGTTTTCTGATCCTAATCTCATATTCACAATAGTTGGCTAGAATTGGTCCACATGATAAAGTAAGTCAAATTTACTTCTATTTGAAATTTCATTAAGGTCACGTTCCTGATCACACTGAGTATTATAGATGCTATTTCTTCCCTGAGTAGGAGCACCATTATTCTAATAAACTGCCCCTTCCATATGCCAAACCGGGGCCTAACCAAACATTAGCAAGTGGAAGTTCTGCTCCAAATCTACTACAAGCCATTATAAGAAGGTACAGAAAGGTTTTGCTATCTTAATTAAATATATTATATCATATTTTTATCTTGCCCTTTCACAATTTTATGAGTTAACCTGCAATGTTCAAATTCCCAATGACAAAATGGCAGAAAATATAATCAGACTGTTATAAAAAATATTATTACATGTTCCACCCTGGGTAATAATTGGTATGAAAGATTACAGCAAAGGGTTTCTTAATGTCCCTGACTTACATTCCTGTGACTATTCTATGTCAGTTCAGGCTTAGTGGGGTGGCTTAAAACCTAACTCTTTAGTAACCATGTTGTTCACTGTACCATATCACCCATGTAAACTCAGCTCTTCCTTCTAAGATGGTGAAGGTAAGAGGACAGAAACAATCACCAGCCCTCAGAGGAGAGAGGAGATTGTATGAGGCTGGAAAAGCATATGTCTGATAAGTAAGAGAATGATCCTAGCTGTTTTAAAGAAAATAATTACCTCTAGAGAGCTATATCAAAAAGTCCATCTGTCCTATACATCTTCAGATTTTAAGGACTAAAGAGAAGAAAGTTCCTAGCAGATTATGATTTTATCAAACTGTTTTATTAGCCTGAAGTCCCAGCTACTAAGGTAGCAGAGGCGACATGATTACATGAGCCCAGGAGTTAGAGACCATCTTGGGCAACAAAGAGAGATCTCATCTCAAAAAAAAAAAAAAAAAAAGTACTTCATTAGACTGTTTCACTGATTCAGATTTGGATCACCTTGGAGTATTGTTTGCTTTAGCAAACCTACAGAAGAAATACAAGACAAAAAAATAACTGATTTGCCTGGGAATTCCTTGCTGCATTATTATACTAACCTCTGTGTATATAAGAATGACTTGTGGTGGTGGCCACAGGAAGAGGCTTCTCTGCCTGTGGCAAATGGAGGGAAGAGCAGGAAGGACTTCGTATTGTGCTTGGAGTGCCAGCACAGCTGCAGAATAGAACATCAGGCAAATCTCTAAGGTTTTTTGTTTTTGTTTTTTGAAAGAGTCTGCTCTGTCACCCAGGGAGTGCAGTGGCATGATCTCAGCTTACTGCAACCTCTGCCTCCTAGGTTCAAGCAATTCTCCTACCTCAGCCTCCTGAGTAGCTGGGATTCCAGGCATGCACAGGCATACCTGGCTGATTTTTATATTTTTAGTAAAGACGGGGCTTTGCCATGTTTGTCCAGGCTGGTCTCGAACTTCTGGCCTTAAGTGATCCTCCCGCTTCAGCCTCCAGAAGTGCTGGGATTACAGGGGTGGGCCACCATGCCCAGCTAAAATTTAATTTTACTTAAACAAATACTTATTGAGTGCTAAATAGTATGGATACAGTGGTGAACAAGACATACAACATGGTCTCTGTCCTCTTGATAGGTTTTGCTATGTTGCCCAGATTGGTATCAAACTCCTGGCCTTGGTGATCCGCCCACCTTGGTCTCCCAAAGTGCTAAGAAATCTCTAAGGCTTTTTGCTCCAATCCTTGGCTTCCAGACATCTCTGGACCCACCTGGGACCTTGGGGGAACTTGCTGCCCTGAAGGGGAGGACACAAACCTGGCTGGCTTCATCACCTGCTGACTGTAGAGCTCTAGGACCTTGAGTGAACACAGGTGGCAGCCATGTAGTGGTTACAGCAGGCCTTGGGCAAGACCTTGTGCTGTGCTGGCTTCAAGTATGACCCAGCAGTCCCAGTAGTAATGGCCACAGGGGTGCTTACATCAACATACCCCAGTTCCAGGTGGCTCAGCACAGAGAAAAAGACTCCATTTGTTCAGAAGAAAGTAAGAGAAAAGAGCAAGTCTCTGCCTGGTAATCCAGAGAATTCTTCCAGATATTTCTTATCCAAGACCACCAAGGTGGTACTTCTATGAATCTGCAAAAACCACCGCATTATTGGGCTTGGGGCCCAAGTTCCTTTGACTACCTGGAAAGTCTTCTTAAGAAGGACAGGCACAAACAAGTCCAGATTGCAAAGACTATAATAAATACCTAGCTTGTCAATGCCCAAATACCAACAAATATCTACAAGCATCAAGACCCTGCAGGAAAACATGGCCTCACCAAAAGAACTAAATAAGGTACTAGGGACCAATCTTGGAGAAACAGATATATGTGACCTTTCAGACAGATAATTCAAAAGAGCTGTGTTGAAGAAATGCAAGGAAATTCAAGATAACACAGAGAAGGAATTCAGCATTCTATCAGATAAATTTAGGAAAGAGACTGAAATAATTAAAAATGATCAAGCAGAAATTCTATAGTTGGAAAATGCAACAGAATACTAAAGAATGCAATAGAGTCTCTTAATAACAGAATTGATCAGACAGAAGAAAGAATCAGTGAGCTTGAAGAGAGGCTATTTGAAAATACTCAGAGGAGAAAAAAGAAAAAAAGAACAAAAAAGAACAAAGCACACCTGTAAGATCTAGCAAGTAGCCTCAAAAGTGAAAATCAAAGTTATTGGCCTTAAAGAGGATATAGAGAAAGAGATAAGGATAGAAAGTTCATTCAAAGGAATAATTGCAGAAAACTTTCCAAACATAAAGATATCAATATTTAAGTATAAGGTTATAGAACACCAAGCAGATTTAACCAAAAAAAGACTACCTCAAGGCATCTAATAACCAAACGCCCCAAAGTCAAGGATAAAGAAAGGACCCTAAAAGCAGCAAGAGAAAAGAAAACAACAACAAAAACATACAATGAAGCACCAATAAATCTAGAAGCTGGCCTTTCAGTGAAACCCTTACAGGCTAGAGAAAGTGGTAATGATATATTTAAAAGTGCTGAAAGAAAAAACTTTACTCTAGAGCACTAAATCCAGCAAAATCATCCTTCAAGCATGAGGGAGAAATAAAGACTTTCCCAGACAAACAAAAGCTGAGGGATTTTATCAACACCAGACCTGTCCTACAGGAAATGCTAAAAGGAGTTCTTCCATCGGAAATAAAAGTACATTAATGGCAAGAAGAGATCATCTGAAGATACAAAACTCACTGGTAGTAGTAAGCACACAGCAAACACAGAATATTGTAACACCGTAATTGTGGCATGTAAACTCCCACATGCCACAATTATACAATGTTACAATATTCTGTGTTTTTACCTTAAGTAAAAAGACTAAATGATAAACCAATAAAAATAATAACAACTTTTTAAGACATAGACAGTACAATAAAACATAAAGAAAAACAACAAAAAGTTAAAAAGCAGAGGGATGAAGTTAAAGTGTACAGTTTTTATTAGTTTTCTTTTTGCATGTGTGTTTATGCAATCAGTGTTAAGTTGTCATCAGTTTAAAATAATGGGTTATGCCGGATGTGGTGGCTCACGCCTGTAATCCCAGCACTTTGGGAGGCTGAGCCGGGTGGGCCACTTGAGATCGGAAGTTTGAGACCAGCCTGACCAACATGGAGAAACCTCATCTCTATTAAAAATACAAAATTAGCTGTGTGTGGTGGCGCATGCCTGTAACCTCAGCTACTCAGGACGCTGAGGCAGGAGAACTGCTTGAACCCAGGAGGCGGAGGTTGCAATGAGCCAAGATCATGCCATTGAACTCCAGCCTGGGCAATAAGAGTGAAACACCATCTCAAAAAAATAAATTAATAAAAATAAAACAAAATAGGCCGGGCATGGTGGCTCAAGCCTGTAATCCCAGCACTTTGGGAGGCCAAGGTGGGTGGATCACAAGGTCAAGAGATCGAGACCATCCTGGTCAGCATGGTGAAACCCCGTCTCTACTAAAAAAAATACAAAAAATTAGCTGGGCATGGTGGTGCGTGCCTGTAATCCCAGCTACTCAGCAGGCTGAGGCAGGAGAATTGCCTGAACCCAGGAGGCGGAGGTTGCGGTGAGCTGAGATCACGCCACTGCACTCCAGCCTGGGTAACAAGAGCGAAACTCCGTCTCAAAAAAATAAAAAATAAAAAAAAATAAAAAAAAATAAATAATGGGTTATAAGACATTAATAGTATTTGCAAGCCTCATGGTAACCTCAAATTGAAAAACACACAATGGATACACAAAATATAAAAATCAAGAAATTAAATCATACCCACTAGAGAAAATAATCGTCACTAAAGGGAAGACAAGGAAGGAAGGGAAGAAGTAAAAGAAGACTGTAAAACAATCAGAAAACAAATGACAAAATGGCAGGAGTAAGTCCTTACTTATCAATAATAAAATTGAATGTAAATAAATGAAACTCTCCAATAAAAAGACATAGAGTGGCTAAATGGGTGAAAAAACAAGACCCAATAATCTGCTGCCTACAAGAAACACACTTCACCTATAAAGATACACAAACTGAGAATAAAGGAATGTAAAAAGATATTCTGTGCCAATGGAAACCAAAAAAGAGCAGAAGTAGCTATAGAAAAAATAGATTTTAAGACAAAAACTATA